CAATTATTTACATTTGGCCGACGACTCGCGATTCAGTTTCTCACCGCGTTCGCTTCGGCGTTCGTTTCTCTCGTTCTCGGGCGAACGAAAGTGAGCGTACCCGCTCGCGCCGCTATTCCAGATCCAGATAAGGATCGATGCTATAATTCCAGCCGGTGGATCTCCACCGAACGATCTCTACTCTCTCACCGTTGATCAGAGCTCCTTGAGCGCGCGCGAGCGGTATCCTTTATAAGATAATCTCGTGATGCCGGCGACGCGAGATGCTCGTCGCTATTTACGAACTGGGGGAATCTTGTAAATCGTACGTTCGTGCCTCCACTATCTACTATTCGTCACGAGAACCCGGTCCCGCCTCCCTCGTCGATCACAACGCGAAACCTTTTGCCAAACTGTTTTTCCAGCCGACGTTTCAACGAAACCGCGTGGCTGCGCCGATCTACAACCGGAGCGCCATCTATCTTGCTTTCTTTACGCCCGCTCGCCACGTGATAAATTGCCGGTGGTTCGATACTCCTGGTGATTATTGCTTCGCCGGTTTTGCGTTTGCTGTTGCTCGCCTCGGCACGTTGCAGATCCCAGCGAAAATTTTGCGTGTATTACCTCTTGATATCGTACGAGCAACGTGACTTATGAACCTTACAAAGGGTACATCGCTCGAAATTTTGTGGGAAAGTCTGCTCTGGTTCCGCAGTTCGAAATTCGAAGAGAAACTTTTCTTTCAGACTTTCGAAAAGTTTCGAGAAGTTTCTTTTTCCAGAAGTTTCTCGAAAAAAGATCGAACGAAAGAAACTATGTCGCGACTGTGTCGATCGATCGTTTGTGCGCGGAACAATCAAATTTCCTTGAGAACCTTGTGTAAAGTCAGTAGCAGTATAAAATTCACATTGATGGAGAAACGTGAAACAGACACGAAGGTGATCCTCCGGATTTTCTACGAACTGCGAGAGTTAAATTCCCTAGAAGGAATAAGGGTGCTATCCGAAGACTATAAATGACACTCGTCAGTAAAGACGGAAGAAATCAATTGAATTCTATTCGACGAACGAGTCGGACAACTCGCAGCGCTTTTGAGTAAACGTCGAATTGTATAATTTTGCATTTGTTACGCTCAGGAATTCGTAATTCACTGATCGCAAAGGGTAAACATGTCAAGTGTTACGATCACTAATAGCAAAAATTTAGTACACGTAGATTAAAAATTGAAAAACTTTAAGATTACAGAAAAGAATGGTAGCTGAATATTCCTTTTATTGATATTTATTACATAAACGGTATACAATGTAATAAATAATGCAATAATAATTTTAATAATGGGTTTTATTAAAACTAGTTTAGGCAAAGATTTGAGCAGTTTTCCTTTGCAACAATTTCACAGAACGTTGCGTCTCTACTAATATTTCTTCCCAGCAATGTTACATTTCCTTGCTAACAACTTTTACAAAATTTTCTGACTTGGAATGTAATCGTGCCGTGATCTTGCGATTTGCTTGCCGCGAAACTGTATCGAACGGGGTAAACAAAGCACGCACGACACTTAACGGCATTTAACGGGTTGAAGAAAGAGGTCTGGATCGAAGCGTATACGTTCGCATTCGGCTACTCGTCATCCTCGGAGCGGTTGGAATCGACTCGAGGTCTCCTTCCCTTTTCGTTCTCGAGCGGTCATGAATATGCATGACTAGATGGGTGCCCCCGCAAAAATTTACGGCCCTGACAGGCTGACGTTTCGAGAACCGGCGATACGAGGCCTAACGATACACCAGTGGGTATAATCGGGACTGACAGTCCTCGAGGAACCACGTTACGCCTCGAAATCCGAGTCGCTCGGCCGTGTTTTCAGAACGTCACGCGGAGATTGCCGTGCCCCGGCAGTGCCGTGAGAGGTTTCTTGTTCTCGATGGAATCGACCGTGTTATCGAAAGGAGCGCCACACCGCGCTGAGTAAACAGACGTCGAGGATTCGAAGAATCGACGTACTTTCGGATTTTTTTCCAACGCTACGCGCGAACGAACGTCATCGTGTTGTTATTAAAAATATTAAACGCGCGAGCAAAGATTATTCTATCGAAATAATCATCGACGAACCACGGTTCTTTTTTTTTACGCGCTTAAGAATGTGCTTCTTTCTCCCTCCCCCTCAATCCCTCTTTTTTTTACTTTGACTTTGAGTGTCTTCCTCCAAATGAAGAAGACGATTGGACACTTTCGACAGAGAGCGAAGCAATTCCGTAATCCATCGCGGTGTGAAAATTCAACGAAGAACGCGAGAATGTAGTTTGCAGCGATCACGACGATCGAGTCACGAGGGATCGTCGATCGATCCTTTGACAATTTCAAGTAGTCTACGTGACGAGTTAATAATTTCGCTCCGGGAGAAAGCAAGGAGCCCGGGGGGAGGATTAGGAGAAGTGGAAGAAACGAAGCTCGTGACATCGCGAGCCTCGGTAAGAGTACCGAGGTCTCGTGCTAACGAGCCCGGTAACGCTTAATTGTCCAGGATTAATCAATTTGCCCGTTTCACCGCTATCAGATCCGTAATTACAGCGGATCGGATTTAAGCTCTAATTATAAAACAATCCATCGTGTCTCCGACGACGATGATCGAGCAGTCGATCCACTCGTCTCGAATCGGGTATCGCGCTCACGCGTTTCAAATCAGACACGGTGTTCGCAAAAACGTCGTTTGAACCGGTTGCGTGACATCATGAACGATTGCTAGCGAGCCGAGCGAGAAGACGTGAAAGGACGAGAGAAAGATCCTCTTTCAGGATTTAACAACGCCAGCGAAGGAGAAGAAGAAGAAGAAGAAGAAGAAGAAGAAGAAGAATGAAAAAAAAAACGACAAAGTTACCGAGACAAAGATAATTACTGGAGAAGCTGTGTTCGAAGAGAGATCAACAGCGTCACGACAGACGCAATGGCGATTCCTTGTTCTCTGGCGTGGCCACTTACGCGAGAAAATATCCATTATGTAATTTAGAAACCTATCGTACGCGAAACGTACCTAGTATAAATTATCGCAGTTATTACAGTATTAATTCGAATGTTAATTTATTCTATTTGATAGTCTCTATTATGTTATTATGTTGTTATCGCGATGGATGGAAAAGAAATTACCGCGACAGAGAGATTAATGGAAATCAAAATACTATGTATTACATTATAATGGTAGAATGTTAGAGTACTACCTATTCCTGTAACAAATCTGAAACTCCTGCTTTTTCAATGAAGCACGTGCCAATGAAATACAATTTTCCAGACAGTATTTCATAGTTTACGAAAGATGGTGTTTATCGTTGGAAAGAAAATCGAACGACATCAAAAGAATGAAATAATAGAGAAACGATTCCTGGACACCGAATCCAGTGTGTAATTTGAGAATCCTATTCTTCCAACTTGAAATCCGCGTCTTGTCTCCAACTCCAACTTCAACTTCACCCTTTCACTCGCCACCATTCCGTTCCCCTCGGCGTCCTCTGCAATTACCAGCATTTTCACCGCACAACGTACGAACGGACCGACACATCATGAACAGGGCAAAGCATCTCTCTTGCGAAAAGAGATAACTTTTCCCGAGTTCCATCGAATCCGTCACGTGAAAAGACAATAAAAACGAGCTAGCTCGGCCAACGATTACGAATAACTTCACGTTCGCTGCGGAATGTTCGCCCGCGGATAAAAGGGAAAGAGAAAGAGAGAGAGAGAGAGAGAGAGAGAGAAAGAGTTACAGCTCTCACGGAGAAAAGAGGGAGAAAGTGTGGACACGAAAGATGAGAGAAAGAGAGGGAGAGGGAAAGGGGGAGGTGCAGGGTCGATTCTAGCTTCGAGGGGTCATTACAGAGCTCTCCTAACCGGAGAACAGCCGTCTATTTGGCCGATGCCAGCCAGACTGTCCGGATTGACTGATGTCAGGTCATTCAGAGTTTCCTAGACATCCTTCGGTTGCCTCATCTACGTGACGACGTGTAAGTCGAGATAGGAGAGTCTACTCTCGAGACTCTTTCCAACGATGTTGCACGACCGATCTCGATACGCCTCATTACGCCAACCACTTTCCAAAGCAATTAAAACTGCCACGTTCTCGAAACTCATTCAATCCGATCGTTCGTTTGTTCTACCCATTCTCCATCTCGTATGGTCATTCGCTCGAGTTTCGCAATTCCAACGACCCACGCACTCTTTCGCCAACCGCGATTTGATGCTCTTTCCGGAGCAGTCGTCTCTCGCGAGACAAGTGTCCCAGCGCAGAGAGAAACTTCTATCGCGGTGAAATCGCGCGACGACGAGAAAGCAATTAAAAACGCGACACTTGTTTCTCTCGAGTCTTCTCCGATTCTTACCGAGTCATCATCGAGCATCCGTCCGCTCGAGAAAGTCGTGACAAAGATGGCAAAGATTCAAAAGAAAGACCTTTGACTAGCATAGTTCGAGACTGTCAATTTCGTTACTAAGCGAATTTTGACGAATAATTAAGTCAAAAATTAAGTCGTTTCACCTTCCACTTACGCGCAAGTGTTTCCAGAGGTAGTTTCCAATCGACTGTTCGTTACGAAACCTCCGATACTTTGCATCAAACGTCCATCGTACGGAGAAGACGTTCGCGGTGATCGTAAAAGATTATCTCGGCCGATTATTATCTGGCTACTGAATCGCGACTCGGGTCAAACAAACTTCGAGCCTTCCTTTCTCGACGAGCCGAGAGTAACCTCGACTAACACACGGCGCTCGGCGCTGAAAATCCTAGCCTCTCAATTGGTTCGCATCTCTGTCATCACAGTGCAAAGTTTCAGCAGCGCCTGTGGCGTTTCTTCTTACGAAACTCGGCAAACACTAGAGGAGACGTTCCGCGTTTATTTGTCGTGTTAAGCGTCGCAATCGTCGCGATACTCGCGATAATCGCGATACTCGCAGCCTTCACCCGTAGTTCGGTGTTTCGCGTAATCGAGAAACTCCGCGTTGGTAAGAACGAAGCGCAAACGTATTTACAAGAGACTTACCTGAGCGTACTCCGCGCAAATGTCGATCGATGACACGTAATTGACGACGTCCTCAACGGTCCACCGATTGACAGCTTGTCCATCTCCGCACGGCATGTGACCACACAACGACGGACACCTGACCGGGGGTGGCGTGGTAGGTCGAGGAGTTGGTTTCGGCTTCGGAGATACGCTTCCGGATCTTCTGGTTTCCGCCCTCTGCCTTTTCCGCGGAGCGAACCCTCCTGGACTCGAGAGATCCAGAGGACTCGTCACGCCCGCGTCTCGTTTGTTCGCACCTGATTCAACACGATAATTCATCGTTACACCACTACACTGAAATTTTTCTGAACAACTTCACATTCGACAAAATTCCTTCTTCTTTCGCAGTGAATCTATTCCAAACAGTTGTACGGTCGTGTGTCTGCTCGTACGTGAAAGAATTATTTCGAAAAGTGTTTGAAAAGTGTTTTGCAGTTTCAAGCAGAAACCGAATCGGTATTTTTAGATTACTATTCGATTACGTTTGATGAGACCGAAATGGTGCGAGTACCGGTATGATGCTATCAAAACGATGTTAAGTCGGTAGATGTATTTCGATATAATACCGATATAATACCGGTAAATAAAATATTAATATATTAGAAAAGGGAAAGGAGACAATGAGCAAATGTTTTCATAAAACTGCCGATAGTAAATTTGATGACGCTTATACACGCATCCTTTACTATTTCTAATACTAATTCATCGTTGTATCTCCATACAATATCAGCCACGATACTCTTACTTAATTTTAAAAAATGACCGATTTCTCGATATGTTTTTCCTTTTTCTCGGTGAGAAATGACTAATTGTCGTAAATCGAAAGAGGAGTTGAAACAACGATTGATCGTAGAATGGAAGAATATTCCGCTAAATTACTTAAAAAAAATTACTGGAAATATGCCTAAGCATCTGTGATATATTATTGAAGTTAAGGGCTACCTAGAAAAATATTAATTATTGTTTATGTTAACAATTTTCAGGTTCAAATATTGTAGTCCTTCAAATGTCCGAATATTTTTGCCACGTTACATTTCGACATAGTTCAGTTTATTGTTTGATATTAAGAAAAGTATGTGCGATAAATAAATAAATTTTATGTTACTACGAAGAATGTTCTATTATATTATTAAAAAACTAATCCAAATTTACTATTATATAAACAATCGAAATCCACAACAATATTTTGAATAGCATCATGTCCGAATATTAATAAGAGTCACTGTACGTAGAAAATGAAAAATGTGTTTTCGTCTTATACCTAAATATTAAAACCGATTTATACCTAAATATTATACCTAAGTATTAAAACCGATTTCCCAAATAGCGGTTATATTACGATAATATGGGAGTAAATACCGGCAGAAACCTCAAAATTTTGGTTTTCAGTCTTCGGTTTCAAGTACTACAGATGCTTCCAACACTTTTCCATCTCCATTTTCCAACACTTTACGATTGGTTCCTTTTGTAAGAAATGGAAAGGAGGAACTCTCGTTTAAGGAAAGAATGTCTAGAATTAAAATTTACTTTTCGCTCTCAATTTTTGTGCCAAAGAACAACGAGGTGGTTGATTAAAACAGTTGATTAAAAGTCTACTCACGAGTCAAAGGGAGAAATGGATCGAACACGAAGCTGTTCGATCCGCTGCTTCGCGAGTGAATTTTCAGGAAGAAACGAATATTAGAGCGACGTATATATATTTCGTAACGACGTGCTACGCTTAGAGCGGTCGACGATAAACTAAACTTATTGTTAGTCCGAAGGTTATTGAACGACGCTCGAGTCTCGAGGGACGTAAATCAAAATATAAAAACGACACTTTGCGAGAATTCCAGTAGTAAGAGTTTGAACGCTGGTGTAAACAGGTTTCAAGGCTAAGTTTCGAGCCAGCTGTGTTTTGTTTTATATAAAATTATATTTTTGTGTACTCGAGTTGAAATTCTTTAGGAAATTTTAAGACTTTGTCGAATTTTTGTCGTCTTCGGATATATTCAAAGTTCAATTACACGGCGGAAAGAAATTGTACAGCAAGTTTTTTTTATTATGGATTAAAAGAAAAGCTTCAATCTCCAAATTTATGATTCGAGATTGATTGATCAACGTTTCGAGAGGCGTTTGAATTTATCGTATTTTTTTTACTTTCCTCATTCGTTAGACGATACGAAAACATATTTGTAAAATATGAATCCAGAGACTCGCTGTGTAATTTCTTGTTACAAAATTACAACAACTTAAATATCGTCAATTTTTCCAACATTGGAAAAATTTAGTTCCTGCCCGCCAGTATACATTTCTTATAATATTTCTTTGCAAGTTAACAAAATATAGTAACAAACCATATTACAAACTATCTGACAGAAATTATAAATTGGTCATCTTTACCATTTTATGGTTCCATTATATGATCCATTTTATGGATCATTTTATAGTTCCAGTGTCGATACTGTTTGAATTCGAATCGGAAGAATCTGACGCAGCTGTGTGTATCATATCTTTTGTTAATAATTGTAGATAAATTACCTTTGAGATATGTTTCGAGCTCTGCCGCATTTTGCGCGGCATTTGCGGTCCTCACCATGTGTAGAAGCGCCTGCGTCGACGACATGTCCAACATCGGTGGGAACACGGGATTGCCGAACAGCGTGTCCTGCTTCTGCTCTTTCGGATCCTTGTTGGAAAGGGGTGAGGTGGTGGACACGGTTGACGGCTGTGGCGCACCCAACGGTGCCATCAAACCGACGAACGGTGTTGCGCCAGCTTTGAATCCTGGGAACCTTGGGTCTAAGCCCGGGGGATAGCCGTTCCTCGGCGAGCTGAAGTAGCTGTGAATTTCACGAATTACTTTTATTATTATTCGTCTATTATTCGTCAATAAAGATCATCCAATCTTTTTACGTGGATCCAGTGAGAGGGAAAAAAAAATTGAGTATCTATCCGACTTTATTTTCGTAATAAAAGTCAGCGTTTTTATGAATTAAGTACCTGAATACCTACATATATATATATATATGGGTATTATTGATAATTGTTAACACGAACGAAGAAGAATTTTACAATGGTTCTAGAATCAGTATGTAAAATCAGAACTGAATCAGTTGCGATAAAGCATAGAATCTTCATCAGAGATATTAAAGTGAAAAGAATAGAAAAACTGGTAAAATATTTAACAAATTGCACAAGCTTTTACTTATGTATTTTGATGAAAAATCGTTTAAATCTTTAAAACTACATTGTTCTATGTCTACGACGTATCTAACAATTATGAATTAGTCATTTTGACCACCTCGGTAGTTCCAGTGTTAAGAAACTAGATCGATGACACAAATTGGAAAATTGCATTTTACTCGAGAATGAAATAAGAAGTTTTTTTCTTAAAAAAAATCTACCCAGAATTTCGAAACATGAATCAGTTCTGCTCATCGCTGGAATATATTTCTTCAGCGGCGTGAAACGAAGGAGAAGGCACTTTCTCCTGGAAATGCCACAGATCGCGTCGCGGGGGAATTTCATCGTCACGCGGATCTCTGCTCGACCGATCGACCGAACTACCTTCTGTCAGAGTGGCAGCCAAATGCCGGAATCAACGATCGACAGTCGAGGAACGACACGTCCGCGAATCTGGAAACGATCGCAGCCAGACCAATACTCCACGCTGGCAAGAGTATTGGCCAGCGTCTGTCCATTCTCATGGATATCTCAAAGTGCGCAACAACGCTATCGATATTTTTCCTTTCTTACGTTGACTCTGCGCCGTGTCCTCGCCGAGGATCGGTTCTTACATCTTCCCCGTCGTTCCCACGTACGCACACGGAACACCGGGAATCGTGGACGAAGAATGTCAAGGCAAGCGTCATCACTCTCAAGGTCTCTCGTACTCTTTAAACAATAGATATCGAACGGCGCTCTCGCCGGATGATTGCGTTCGAGAGAAGAGCTCTAGAGGAAGCTTCGGAAGTTTTGCACGTACGCGTAGCATCTTTGTCGAAAAGAATCGCGGCGCCAAGCTTGGATCTATCGACGAGCAAGTCTTACCTGCTTCTCCTCAAAATTTGTTAAAATTTGTTCTAGCATTTTCTTCATGTTTCGAGAGATGTCGAAATCTTTGGTAAAGTCACGCGTACACGTTATATACAGGCTGTTGCACGACATATTCGATCGGACGACGAAGAAGAGGGACTATAAAAATCTCCATAAAAGTAGATAATTTCGTTTCGTCTAAAATATACGTCTAAAAAAAAGGAAAGAAAGAAGACACAGAGCTAAGCTGATTTGAATGACCGGTAATGGCAAGGAACGAACGAACGAACGAACGGCTAGATGCTCTGGGAGAGGCAAGAAAAGAGGCTACTCACTCATTAGGGTTGGCGTTATTGTACTTGGCAGCGAGGCTTCTCATGAAATCGCTATAATTTCGTCCCATCATCTGCTCCATGTGTTTGAGGTGATGGGGTGGCGGCGGGCCTTCGGGTCCACCCAAGGGGGTAGCATTTGGCGGCGTTCCTGGATGGCTGGACGACGACGGCGTCACGCTCCTCGACGACGTCGAATTATTGTCTGGCGTAAGGCGTTCTGTTTTAACCTGATGAAAACACCGATTGACAAACTGTCGATTAGATTCTCCATGTCACTCAGGTATACCCTTACTTGTAAGGGTATTCTAACAAGAAAGAAAGAAAATGTCTCTATTACATCCAAATAACGTAACACTCAAGTTCCAATTACCAAACTAATAAAAATATCTTTCGAAATCGCGCGCTCTGTTAAACGAACGCGGACCGCGAAAATGATTCGTTGCTCGTGCAACCTCCGCGTGGAAAACGTCATTGCTGCGAAAGTGTAGGAGGGCAGCCGAGAGAGGGAGAAACCAACAGCCAAGAGGAAATATCAGTGCGCATTAATTCCCGAGAACAGATTGCATCCGAGATATGGTAATGAAGGGAACGCGTGGCGCAACAGTTGACTCCTCTTCGGCGGCGAGGAACGGCGGCTACGTGACACCAAGAAGAACGAGACTCGATTGGCGTAGAATAGGGTCCCCGAGGAGTCCGAGGAGTCCGAGGAGCCGTTCCGGCAGGCCACGGTAAATCTCTTTCTCGCCTCGAGACCTCTTCCTGACACGGGGCCGAAGCTCTCGCAACGTAGACACGATTCCAACGTGTACGAGCCTCGAACCGAGCTCGCGATCGCGCGCTGCTCGTCTATCCGTTCCTGCCAGTTTCTTGCGAAAGAAACTCGACCGAATGGAGTCCCTAGAGCCAGCCAACCAGCCCCGAGAACTGTTCCACGATAAATGGAGAAATATTTGTCACCGTGGTCGATTTGTTGGGATTGAAACTCGGGTCGAGGAGGAGGATGCTGGGACGGGAGAAAGTAGAATCTTCGCGTTGATTGCTACGTGCAAGCACGAAGGTTTCTGATATTCCTTTTTCGGGGAGGGGAGGCAATTACACGAGCGGTCGGAAGGATAAAATTGGTGCGAAATTGCGGGTAATAAGGTACGAGTTTAGCAGCAATTGGGGAGTTTAGTACGGTTAATTGAAGAGAAATTGCAACTTTGTGATAAATTAATTTTCTTCGTAACGGTTGTTTTACCGAGAAGGAGGAAGAGTGAACAAATTTTTAAAAAACAACGTCGAACAGAGACTCTATTTAATGTAAATTTCAAAGTAAAACGGTTGAGATGAAAGGAACGACTCGTTGACATTAATTACAATGTAATTACCGATCAGATTAATGTCTTCCAAAATCCGTCCATCAAACTAATCCCATTTCGATCAATTCTGACCTCTCATTCGTATCAACTCGAAGAAAATCATCGTCGACGTACAAAATGCTTCGCTTCTCCCTCGATAAAATAAAACAAAATCGACTCTTTCCGACATTTGTTCAAGGACAAACAAAGATACGTCACCACTGTCGCGCGTAACATATCTTCAAGGTTTCTTCTCTTGTTTTTTCTTCTTTTTTTTTTTCCTTTTTCTACAGATGACGTTTTGCAACGCAACAGAATAATTCGAACGAGGCGAATTGCTGCGCGAGAAACATCGATTTCATAGACGTTGGGCTTGGTTAGCAAGGAACTTACTTGAGTAGTGTCGAGACCATTCTGATTCTGTCGCCTCCGTCCCCTCGGTGGTCTGGGAGTAGCCGCACCGGAAAGGTGGGCACCCTGGGGGCTTCCGCCCCTGGCGTCGACCGCTGTGTTCGCGGCCAGGGTGGCCCCGTCGCTATTTTCCGTGTGTGTGCCTAAATCAGTCGCCTCTCCACGGTCGCCGCCACGTGGTCCAGAGCTTGCCGACACGTTCTCACCTGATACCTCACCTGCGAACCAATCGATCGAACTTTGTCAGTCGAAACGAATCTGTCAAGGTCGATCGACGAGCATCAGAGCCCGTGTCACGTGATAAACATGCCAAAATCCATGGATACAAAGTTGAAATTAATCAGAGCAGCGTGTCGCACGCGGAATTTATAAAGCAACGAGTGTCGATTATCTGTTTCAACCGCGTCGTGTATCAATATAATTTTCAAGTAATTGGCTTTTTTTGTTTTTAAAGATAACTTCGTTTTAGACCGCGAGTTCGTTGTATAACCCGTCGTTGTGCAACGGTTCGAGCTCTTTTTCTTTTAGAAAAAGAAAATGCACGATTTTGTTAACGATTGTTTAGCGTCGATTTCAGAATGGAAAAGCAACGTTATTTTCGGCGTTATTTTGCTGTATTACTTTCGAAAAGTGAAAGAATACTGTACAAGCTCATAAAAAATTATGGTAGTAATTTGAACTATGGCAGTGTCAAAGTGTATGGAGTATGAAATTGGTTTGACGAGGATATCAAATCATTCTTGGAATTGTTTATTTTTTTCTTTTTTTTTTTTATCGTAAGATTTTTTGAATACAGAATCATGAAATTGCCCATATGGACGATATATTGTGTAATAAAACTTTTATTTCGCATGAAAAATTCGCCTTTCATTTGCACACACACAAAAAAAAAATTAGTTACAACCTAAATGTATCATTTCATGCATTTTATTACATAAAACAGTAGCATACGTTTTTGCGCGGTAGCTTGCGAAAGAACTTCACTCCACTTTTGAATCTCGCGACAATTGCAAGTGTCGACGTCTATCGATCTTTCCCACAACAATGTCTCGGTAAATAGTAAATCCAATCCATGGAACTAACCCAGCAATAAACCAAGTGCTGTAAACCAAACACATCAGCCAGCCTCACTTAATCGCCTTAAACCCTGAAACCACCTCGGCACAGCCAGCGTAACATGCCAACCCAGCGATCCATCGCAGCTACCCACTTCAACAGCGTGTCGAAGTCGAGCCCCCGTTCCGATCAGATAATCCATAAAATATCGGCTTGGTTCGCGTGACGAGCGACTTTGCTTACGAATATCGGGGCTGCGCGAATAATGGAAAGACAGCGCGAGTGGAAGCGCTGGTGGCGTTTCCCGCGGCTCGTATTTTGGCAGTTGCTCGACGTCGTCGTCGTCTTCGTCCTCGTTCTTTTCAATAGATAAATCCAACCTCGTGTTGTGTACGTTTTCCTCGAGATCAATTCTCCTTCTTCTTCTTTTTCCTCTCCGCAGCACCGCAACCGTCCCTAACACCGGTTTCGTAACGAGGCGTTAGCTGCTGCCTCCGTCGTAAAGCTTCCTTACCGTCGCGGCGTGTAAACGGTGTCTTTCGACACCAGGAATTTCGATGAAATACGTCGAGAGGGATAACCGTGTAGGACGCGATTACACGGCGAGAGCCAGGCGAAGCGCCGCTAGATTTATGCCCAATAAATGAACCCGTCCCAATGGCGTCCCGGCGCCATTATCTCCCTGCTCGATCAGCGGAGAACACACGCTTATCTCGGACGCCCGCGTGTCCGAGACGTACGCGAGTGTTTTAGGACAGTCGAGATTTTCGGCGGGGTGTAATTATGAGGAATCGAAAGAATGAAGAAACTTAAGGGAAGTGGCAGCGACAGACACACAGAGAGAAAGAGAGAGAGAGAGAGAGAGAGAGAGAGAGAGAGAGAGAGAGAGAGAGAAAGAGGAGAACTGGCCCAGGTCACTGGCCACATTAGCCACGAAACACGTCCAATAAATTCTTGCCATCGTTAAATCGCCGGAATTTCAATGGCGGCTGTAACTCGTGCACACGGCCGAATTTGTTGCACGATAGGATCGCGATCGTTCCACGCGATGAGAGATCCTCGTGATTTCACCCGGTGCCATCGATGCAGAAGATCGCGCGGAAGAGCGTCACGTCCTTCCAAGCGAATTTGTTGCACGCGTTCCGTTTATCGTGGTCTCGGCGTCTCGTGGTTGGAAATTTTACCACGTGCTTTCCTTCTTTTCTTTTTTTCCTGCTACTCGTGAGGTTGGTGATCTAGCTGCCAGTATGCATCCTCGATAATGTAGATATAGATTTAGAGCGAAGATATAGATTTTGCTCGAAATTCGGCGTCTTTAGTTTCAACTTGAGCAGCGTAGACAACGTGTTTAACGGCACGAACGGCGCCGTTCGCTTCTCTCGGGTAATTAACGCAGGTAATTAAATTCTCGATCGAGTTTCTTTTCGTCCGTTCGATCGTTTCGAGGGACGAAGCTGTAAATTTTCATCGCCACGATCGTAGGAAGAAGCTGTACGCGAGCTCGTTTCCTATTAAATTTCTAGAAGGTTTAATAGAGGCTGAAATTTGATGGGAAGCTGTAAATATAATTGATATACCATTCGGAAACGATGAAGTCATTCGATAACGACTGGAAGTGACTTTTACGACCGATATTCTCCCATCCAGATTTCTCCGCTTTTTTCTCCATCGGCTGAAACCACACTGCAACTTGACCAATTTCAAAATAACTTCTCTCGGTAGAAGTTGTAAAATTGTTTTAACGCGATATATCTTCACACAGTTGCGCGCGTATACGCGGCGCGTCGTAAACGATGTACGCGCTTTGCTGTAATTTAATTCTCCCCGATCTTGTTTTACAGCGCGAGTGATCCAATGGATTGAAATTGGTAAGTTATACGTACGTAGAACGAGCAAGTTACTCGAGGTTAAGAGTCTCGGGTCTGCTGTTCAGTTCTATTTTATCCTTCTTCCTCGATGATCGATATTTTCTCGATATTTATTCGACTCTTCCGATTATCGAGTACAAAGTCGATATCTGAGCCTTCAATTGCAAAGAGTTCTACGAATTCCAATCGGTGTATTATTTCGAAATAATTCGGAAAAGGGAGAAACTAAAAATTTCGAAATCGTTCGAATCTTATCTGGAAGAAAGATCGTAAAATTTCGTGCATCCCCGTCGCGTGCGTGCTCACGACACGCTCTTGTCGAAAGATACAGCGAAACCGCGACTTTTACGAACGGCGGTAGCGAGGCTAAGTCACGTACGACAAATATCATAACTCGTGTTCCGGGACTGTCCGAGCGCCAAACTATTGTTTGCCGATCATTTCTTCGATTCTGCACAGTTGTTTGCAGACGAGTGAAAAATTGTTTGTAGTTACGGTGCTCGTGCTCGGCAAAACTACGAGTCAGCACGTGAATTGTTTCTAAATCGTCGAGACGAGCCCCGTCTCTCTTCAAACATTTATCCTTTCCACGTACCGGGAACCGATCGTAGAAAGAAAAATAATTCAACGTTGCGATTTGCAACTTGGCACTCGAGTTTGTTTCTGACTAATCTCGCCGATCTTTCACCGCTTTAGCCTCTTATTAGTAAGAAGATTCTCGGAAGAGTGTCACAAAGCAAAGCGAAACAACTTTTCACTTACGATTTTTCCGTGGAATTCCGCTCTTCTCGGAAATAATTACCTCGCGGGATAAAACTGGCTGATTAGAATGACACAGCGCCTAGTGATAGAATGGACGAGCGAGTGGTACTCTCGTGCAAGCAACTTGTGGCAAAACTGACCGCACCGAGTTTGAAGAAGTGAGTTTTCATAGCAGCAGGTGAGCCGAGGTTCGAGGTGCGACGACACGCTATTGTTAGCTCGTGTTAACACGTCGTTACGATATTTCACACTCCAGCCTCATATTGTTTCCGAGTTCGAACGCAACAGCCTCGCGTGTTGTCTCCTACGTGTTGCCTCTACCTCTTCGTAAACAGAATCTCAGATATTGAGTTGCACTTCGTGGTAGCTTTCTGCTTAACTCGACACGACTGCGACACAAATGCGAGATACAGAGGAATCGAGAAGAAATGGAAAAACTTTCTTTCTGCCACGAAGAAAGAAAATGTCAAAGAAATAGTTAAAGCCGCGTCTATGTCGATAAGGTGGCGAGCATAAATTATTTCGCGCGACGTGAATAAAGACGTCACCACGGTTTGACTTTTAACTCGAGCCGACCGCGACGTTAATTATTCCCGTCTCGAGAATTCGACGCTGTTTTTCGACCACTTGCCCGCGAACGCGATTCGTTCTGCTCTCCGTTAAGGACGCTCGAGTCGAAAACTCGAAGGAGAAAGAAGGGGGAACGGAGACGATAATCGAGAGGCTGTCACAGAGATGACTGATCGTAGCCTGGCTCTTTAGAATTCCCTGGCAGGTCGGGTCTGTTGCTCCACTTCACGTCCGTTTCTAAATATAGCAAGAAATTGCTCGCTCTGCGGCGTAATTAATGAAAAGGTATTTGCAGAATTCAGATTGTTTCGTACGTTTGAATGTCTTTCGGTCTTTGGACGAGGCTCCACTGAATTGAGATTCTACAATTGCATTGAATGAAAAGAATTTCAGCGAGAAGAAAGGCGTGTCAAGAAACAGTTACGCAAACGGTAATTGTCCAATAAAGAAACCTGAAAATTAATTTCGCTTCTTTTCCTTTTGTTTGTAAAAAGGAATCTTCCGTTGTTGAAACAGCGATATTCGCGTGAGTTACATACTTGTTGCTTCGAAGAAACGAACGAGTTAGGAACGAAAAAGCAATTTAGGAAAAAAGAAACAGGGTTTCCCTTGGTTGGCTTTCTCTCTTTTTAAAACAAGATACAATAGAATGACGTAAATACCTTGTTCATCCCCGGATCGAATTTAATCTCGAGACTTTGCCAATCAAAATTTACGAATAAATGGCGAGAGAATCACACCTAGTGGAAACGAAATCAGAACGAAGACCTACTAAATTCTACGAAACCACTTAGAATATCAAGTCTTTTACCCGAATCAATAAAATTACGAATTTATGAAACGAAATCTAATTTCAATTTCTCACTTGATTCAATCTCGATATGTATTTCGCGCATTCCAAAATATATATATGTATATCTTCAAATCGTCCGAGTTAATCTCTTGTAACAATTAATGCGAAA